CCCTGAGCTTTCGGAGAGCTGTCAGAGAGGCTAAGTTCAGGACTGGTTCCAGCAAGAAACTACCTGAATGTTACCTGCTGAGGGTAAACAGGGCACCAGCCTGAAAAGAAGCTCTTGTGCAGGTGCTGGTCTCCCAGTATCAGTTCACCTCCATGCAGGGGAGTCACAGCCCTTCTTGAGGACACAGTCAGCTTCCCATGAAGCAAAGATAAGGAAGCACATTTAGAAACTGTCTTAGTTGTTTAGTGCTGTTAAAACAGAAATACCACAAGTGAATGTCTTTAGCAAACAGAAACTTATTCTCTCATAGTTTAGGAGGCCAGAAGTCCAAAGTCAGGGCACCAGCTTTAGGGGGAAAGCTTTTTCTCTGTCAGCTCTGGGAGAAGGTCCTAGTCTCCTTTCAACATCTGTGGGCCTGGTGTTCATTGGATATCTCCATGTGTCTTGGCATCAATCTCCCCTGGGTCCAGGAGGTTCTCAGCACAGGGACCCAAGGTCGAAAGGATGCGTTCCGTTCCTGGATCTTCTTTCTTGGTGGTACTGAGGTCCCTCTTTCTCCACTCGCTTCTTTCTCCTTTTATCTCTCATAAGGAGAGTTTCACCCTAGGAAACTCCCCTTACACTGGATCAGGTTTGTGACCTGAATAAGGGTGTTGCATCCTACCCTGATCTCCTTATAAATGATTGGCTTATCACATAAGATGATATCATGGGGCATGGTTATGTCATTACATAACTGCCAAACCACTGAGAATCATGGCCCAGCCAAGCTGACACATATTTTAGGGGGACACGATTCAATCCATGACAGAAAACTTATCATCAATGATTCTTTGATGTAAAAAACATGTCACCAAACTCAGCACGGTGGATTGTTTCAGTCTTGGGTGGGAGGGAATTGGAATGACAAAGCAGTACTCTCATCCCAAGCAGATTATCTGAGAAGATCTGGCTAAAACAAGGTAAAACAATGGCCTCCAAAGCCAGACTACTGGACTCACTTCCTGCCTCTGCTACTTACCTCCTGTGTGACTTTAGACAAATTACGTAACCTCCTGAGTCTCAGTTTCCTCAGTTTTCTAAAATAAGAAAAGTAAGAGTATTCCCTCATAGAGTTATTGTGAGGATTAAATGAGGTAATATATGCAAATCATTATTACAACTAAATCCAAAGCAAAGCAAGTAGGCCTGGCCTACTCACAGTAGAACTGTGGCTACCTTAGCAACATACCCTCGTCAGGTATTATGGATTGAATGATGTCCCCCCAAAATATGTGTTAGAATCCTATCCTAATCTGTGGATGTACTTTCATTTGGAAATACGGTTTTCTTTGTGAAGCTAATCAGGCTCTATCAGTGTAGGGTGTGTCATACATCTAATCACCTCTGAGTTTTAAGTCACAGACACAGACAAGTGAGCCCAAGTAGGGAAAGATAGATGCCACACAGAGATCACCAATGAACCAAAGAATGGCTGGATTACAGAAGCAGAAAGAGACATGGATCTCCCCACAGAGCCAATAGAGAGCTGGTGCCCTGAATTCAGACTTTTAGACTTCTGAACTGTGAGAAAACAAACCTCTCTTCTCTAAAGCCCCACTTGTGGTATCTGTACTAGGAAACTAAGACACCAAGCAAGCTAGCTGCCTACAAACTAAAAACTCCAGCAAGTACTGACCAGAATAATAGTTTTTAAAGTGTTTCACTTAAAAAGTGTGTATACTATAGAACTGAGTGGTATTCAATTTCTAATGATATGGAAAATGACTCATGACATCAGATTAAATGAAAAGGGTAGGATAAAATTCTGTATATAGGTTGACCTCTACTGTTTTTTTTTTTTTTTTAATAAATGAGGCAAGAGAGAGGAGAGGAGAGATCTCAAATGTTAACAATAATTATTTCTAAGATGATTTATATTTTCCATATTGTCCAGTTTCCAAATAAAATTGCCTTTTTAAATAATCAAATAAAGGTGTATAACAATAGGAAAAGCTTTAAAAAGCTTAAAATATATTCTTAAAATACAGACCAATTTTTGGACATGTAGAAGCAGAAATCCTCTCCCCACTATATCATATGAGAGCTCTAGTAGCATAGTGGCTAAGGCACTTGACTGCTAACCAGAAGGCTAGTGGTTGAAACCCACCAGCTAATCCTTGGAAGGAAGACAGGGCAATCTACTTCTGGAGTGATACTGCCTCAGAAACCCAAGGAGGGGTCTCTATGAGTCAGGTCTGACTCCATGGCACATAACAACAACTATATCCTATAGGGCTAGAACATATCCCTCTGTGTGCTGATGGTGATTGATTTTTACATGAATTAAATTGAAGTTCATGCCATTTTAGTTGTAATCCATCCCAGGACTTCCCACAAGGTTTCCCATGAGGAAGCCAGGGGCCTTCAAGGCATCAGTGGTGAAAGTTCCCTGCAGCCACTTTCCCACAGTTTGCTCTGTGGTCCTGCTGGTAGATTTGTATACAGAAAGAGCATCTGGTCCCACATACATATAGCATGTTGTATCACGCACATGTATGCATTCGTTTCTACTCACCCAACGTCAAAGATTGATTTGCTATTCTTCACAGCCAGGGCGAGACACTTGCCTCCTTCACTCGTTATTTTGTTTAGTCCTAGCCTGCAGAAAGAGTCATAGACAGTCTACCTGTGGTGGGAGGGGACTCCAAAGACAGGCCACCCACCTCCCCAACATAAGAGAGCCTCCAGGCCCATCAAGTAGGTATGGTCTCCCTCCTGGGACACTGGAGTCCATTAAATGAAACTTAACAGCCATGTCCTAGGCTTCCTATCAGGGAAGGACCTGAAGCTCTATGGAAGTCAGTCAGGCAGGGCCTCCTCCCCAGAAATGCTATAATTTCTGGAGAAATTCAGATTCAAGAACTCCCTGAGGTTCTCTAAAGGCCCTCAGGAGGATCATTCCCCTCATTAACTGCAAGTGGTCCAGCGTGGGCCAAGTCCAGCTCTCTGGCATCCTTTGCAGGGTATTTCTATGAGAAGGAGAAGATCAAGCACTTGCTTGCCATTAGATACTTTTTAGTACTTTTTCTAGTACTCAAGAAATGGTGACACTTACAGCCTTTCTTCTTGTCAATAATTTGTGAAATCAAAATGCTAAGCCTTCTTCCTACCAATGGTAGGTCTCCCTTCCAAAGTCCAAGCCTCACTACAGGTCATCATTTCTCCATATGGCCAGTTCACCTTTCACTCACCTAGGGCTAGCAGAAAACTTCAGGGTGAAAACTCTTTATGGTGACATTTATTCTTTGAATAATGGAAAGGGTGACCAAGAGAAGTGAAGGAGACCAGCAGCTACTAAGGACCCTGCCACATCCAACTCCACTTACTTAAGGTGTGTAAGGCTTTTGCATTCATCCAGGATCTTGGCAATGTACTTGACTCCCACATCAGTGATCTGGTTGTTGTATAAGCTTTGAGAGAAAGTACGGGCATGAGACGTTGTAACTCTCAATATCATTTAATGACCCCAATTTTTTTAAAAAAAGTGAGTAGGTGCTGTTTAATGATTTCCCAAGTGTGGTTGTAAGGAGAAAGAAAGGGCACATGGACGATGCCAGAGATTCGGGCTCTGGGGCCTCGTAGCTCTACTACTTTCTCCAGCTTTATGACCTTGGACAGGTTACTTAACCCCTCTGTGCCTCAGTTTCTCCATCATTATTACAAGAATAATGATGAATAAGAATAATAATGAAATCATAGCTCTGTCACAGATATTTTATGAGATTTTTTTTGTGTGTGGGGGGGATGATTACATGAGATAAAACTAAGTCCTGGCACATAAGTGCTCACTAAATGGAAGGAGATGGATATTATTAGATTAAGATTACAATCAGCATCTTCAGAGGATATAAAGTTTCTCTCAATACTGAGACCTTCTCAGTGTCTACTTTTTAGTCATTTTCCCACTCATACAAGTAATTCAACTATAAGGTAAAAAGAAGTTGAAAGGAGTAATCCAACTAAGGGTTTTGAGTATTCCATAGCCACACAGAACACCAGAGCTGAAAAGGGGCCTGGGATCATTTCTTCATTTTAAATGTCCTCATTTTAAAGCTGAGGCCCAAAGAAGCCAAACAACTAGCTCCAGTTTAAACAATGAATAGTGGCCATGCAGCTGGCTGTACTGGCCTCAATCTCTTAGTTCAAACTCCCAAAATCCACAAGGCTCTGAAAACCCTTAGGATTTCACAACTTTTTTTGGCAGCTGATGTGGAGCTACTTATGCTCTTTATTTTTCCCACTTGGTTTGAATATTTATACATTTCACTGAAGAAATATTAAAGTTTTTGAAAAGGAGTTATTGCCCAAGATGCCCCTGGGCATTATCCACTATACAGTATATATATGAAGGCCCTCAACAAGATGGATTGATACAGTGGGTGCAACAATGGACTCAGGTATAGCAGGGATCATGGAGCTGGCACAGGACTGAGCAGTGTTTCGTTCAGCTATACTTAGGGTCGCTATGAGTTGGAGACAACTCGATGGCACCTAAAAACAAGGTACAGTATATACATCAATTCTGATTCATGTCTGCCCCAGGTCTCAGAGAGATGCTGTGTATCAGAGAACGAAACACTGCCTGGTTCAGTGCCATCCTCATAATCTTTGCTAGGCTTGAGCCCATCATCACAGCCTTTGTATCAATCCATCTCACTGAGCTTTTTTGCTGACTCTCTACTTTACCAAGCATGATATCCTTCTCCAGGGACTGGTCCTTTCTGACAACATGACCAAAGTCTTGCTTCTAAGGAGTGTTCTGGCTGTGCTTCTTCCAGGATAGATTTGCTCATTCTTCTGATAGTCTATGATATTTTCAGTACTCTTCACCAACACCACAATTCAAATGCATCAACTCTTCTTTGGTCTTCTTTATTCATTGCCCAGTTTTACATGCATATCAAGTGATTGAAAATACCATGGCTTGGGTTAGGCACACCTTAGTCTTCAAAGTGACAGTTTTGCTCTTTAACACCTTAAAGAAGTCTTCTGCAGCAGATTTTCCCAGTGCAATATGACAGCTAATTTCTTGACCATTGCTTCCATGGACATTGATTGTGGATCCAAGTAAAATTAAATCCGTGACAACCTCAGTCTATTTTTCATTTATTGTGATGTTGCTTATTGGTCCACTTGTGAGGATTTCTGTCCTCTTTATGTTGAGGTGTAATCCATACTGAAGGCTGGAGTCTTTGATTTTCATCAGTAAGTGCTTCAAGTCATCTTCACTTTCAGCAAGCAAGGTTATGTCTTCTGTATATTGCAGGTTGTTAATGAGTCTTCCTCCGATCCTGATGCCACATTCTTCTACATATAGTCCATCTTCTTGGATTATTTGTACAGCATACAGATTGAATAAGTACAGTGAAATGATACAACCTTGACATACACCTTTCCTGATTTTAAACCATTCAGTATCCCCTTGTTCTGTTCGAACCCGTACATAGACCTCTTGGTACAATCAAGCATTCTGGAATTCCCATTCCTTGCAATGTTATTCATAAAACATAGGTAAACATCTTTCCGGCACTCTTTACTTTCAGCCAAGATCCAATTGACATAAGTAATGATAACCCTCATTCCACATCCTCTTCTGAATTTAGCTTGAATTTCTGGAAGTTCCTTGTCAATGCACTGCTGCAACTGTTTTTGAATTATCTTCAGCAAAATTTTATTTGTGTATGATGTTAATGATATTGTTCAATAATTTCTGCATTCTGTTGGATCACGTTTCTTTAGAATGGGCACAAATATGGATCTCTTCAAGTTGCTTGGCCAGATAAGCTGTCTTTCAAATTTCTTGGCATAAGTGAGAAAGTGCCTCTGGTGGTGCATCCATTTGTTGAAACATCTCAGTTTGTATTCCATCAATTCCTAGAGCCTTGATTTTCACCAGTTCCTTCAGTGCAGCTTTGACTTCTTTCAGTATCTTTGGTTCTTGATCATATGCTACCTCATGAAATGGCTGAGCATCAACCAATTCTGTTTGGTAAGGTGACCCTGTGTATTACTTCCATCTTCTTTTGATGTTTCCTGTGTTGTTCATTATTTTTGCTCTTAGAATTCTTCAATATTGCAACTTAAGGCTTGAGTTTTTTCTTCAGTTCTTTCAGCTTGAGAAATCCTGAGCATGTTCTTCCCTCTTGGTTTTCTAACTCCAGGGCTTTGCACATTTAATTATAATACTTTACTTTGTCTTCTTGAGCTGCCCTTTGAGATCTGTTCAGCTGTTTTATTTCATCATTTCTTCTGTTCGCTTTAGCTACTCTCCATTCAGGAGCAAGTTCAGAGTGTCTTCTGACATTCATTTTGGTCTTTTGTTCCTTTCCCATCTTTTTAATGACTTTTCCTTTCTTCATGTGTAATTTTTTTTTTAATTGTGCTTTGGGTGCAAATTTACAAAGCAGATTTGTTTTACATCATATATGATGTCCTTAACACCATCCCACAACTCATCTGGTCTTCGGTCACTGGCATTCAATGTGTCAAATCTATTCTTCAGATGGACTCTAAATTCAGGTGGGATATAATCAAGGTCATCAGGTCATATTTTGGCTCCCATGGACTTGTTTTAATTTTCTTCAGCTTCAACTTGAACTTGCATATGAGCAATTGATGGTCTGTTCTACAATCAGCTTCTGGCCTGTTCTGATTGGTCTTCTCCATCACCTCTTTCCACATATGTAGTGTATTTTATTTCTGTGTATGCCATCTGGCAATGTTCATGTGATTGCTTTGCTGTTTATGACTCATCTTGTCAGTTTGTCACACTGTGGTGGTTTGCATGTTGCTATGAGGCTGGAGGCTATGTCACCAGTGTTTCAAATACCAGCAGGGTCACCCACAGTGGACAGTTTTCAGTAGAGTTTCCAGACTAAGATAGACTCAGAAGAAGGAAGAGGCCATTTACTTGTCAAAGAATTGGCCAGTGAAAACCTTATGAATAGCAGTGAAACACTGTCTGATATAACACTACTGTTATTCAAATTTATGCACCAACCACTGAAGCCAAAGATGAAGAAGTTGAAGATTTTTACTAACTTCTGCAGGCTGAAACTGACCAAACATGCAATCAAAATGTATGGATAATTACTGGTTATGGGAATGCAAAAGTTGGAAACGAAGAAGGTTTAGCAGTTGGAAAATAAGGCCTTGGTGATAGAAATGATGCTGAAGAAAGCATGACAGAATTTTGCAAGACCAATGACTAATTCATTGCAAATATCCCCCACATATTTTCTCATTTCATTCCCCAATAACCCAGTGTTCTAGTTACCTAGTGCCACTCTGACAAGAATTATACCACAAATGGGATGGCCTTAAGAAACAGGAGTTTATTCTTACAAGTTGGAGGCTTTAAGTCCAAGTTCAAAGTGCCAGGCTCTAGGGGCTATGTGAAAGCCCCTCAACCTTGGGCTTCAGCTCTGCCTCTTGTTCCCAGCCCACTGAAGCTAGAGGCATCTCTTCACTCAGGCAGCTACTGGCTGCTGAGGCTAACAAGCCCAAGGTCAACAAATAAAATGGCACAGTCTCAATGTTATCAAACCACATGGCAGGCCATTAATTTAAGTCCATTTTCAGTCCCAAGGTCTGCAGAGCATGGCAGGCTGCTGAACAATGACACAGCTACATACAGGGTCCAAGTGTGCCATAAGCTAGAGACTATCCTCAAGGCCTCTCCTTATATACAGGAAGCAGACCACATTCCCTAAGGCAGCTACTCAACTGCTTGTGGTAGATCCCACCATGGAGACAATTGCCAGTCTCATCATGGGGAGTAATTACCACCAGCTACCCAGCCACTCAACCAGGCCCAGCCAAGTTTACATACAAATTTAACTACCGTACCTGATGAAACCAGTTTACAAAAAGTGGTGGTGTTAGCTGCTGTGGAGTCAGCACCTAACTTCTGGCAACCCCATGCACAACAGAACAAAGCATTGTCCAGTCCTGTACCATTCCCATGATTGGTTATGGATTGGACCACTGTGACCTATAGGGTTTCCACTGGATGATTTTTCAGAAGTAGATCACTAGGTCTTTCTTCCTAGTTCATCTTAGTCTGGAAGTTCTGTTGATACCTGTTTATCATCATAACCACATGCAAGCTTCCACTGACAGATGGGGGGTGACTGCACATGAGGTATATTGGCCAAGAATAGAATCTGGGTCTCCCACATGGATGGTGAGGATTCTACCACTGAACCACCACTGCCCCCTGTGCAAAAACCACTTGCCTATAATATGATCCCAGTTTTACAGATGAAGAGGTTGAGGCTTAAATAGTGGATATTGGCCAAACCAAGAGCAGAACTCAGGACTCCTAACTCTCAGGTCAGGGCTCTTTCCAGTGACATGGGCCATCAGTTTCAACCATCCACTAACTCACACAGATGACAATTTGCTGCTGCTCCCTGTTATTACTATTGAAAGGACCCAGTATTCTTGAGAATTACATACCCCAAGAATGTCAGGATTTTGTATTTGGTCAGCTCTTCAGATAGCACTTTCACCCCACTGTCAGTGATCTGGTTCACACTGAGTCTGAAACACAACAGGTAAGAAAAGTAAAGATCAGAGCAGCTGCTCATTATGAAGCACCATTAACTCTACAAGGATCCAGAAGCGTACAGGCCTTAGAGTTTTCCCAGTTATCCATACCTGTCATGAGAATGGTTGTAAAAGCCAGCCAGACAGCCCCAAAAGAGGCTGGCCACTGTGGGGCCAGAAGACCCACCCAGAACATACATGCAGCCCAGCACTGTTCATTTCAAGGCCAATGAGGGCCACATAAGAAAGTCACCAAGCACTTATAAACCCTGCATTTATGTGTGGCATATGGCCCAGCTAGACCTTCTACATTCTCACTGCACAGGGTGGGACATGGTGTTTGAAATTGTGTATAACTGCCTTCTAGTGGTTACAGTGACTGTGGAAGGGAAGCCCTGTCATCTTGGGAGCAGGGCCAGTGATGTTAGACACCTTATAGTGCCTGGGACAGTCCCCACAAGAACTCCTGTTGTTAGCCACCACTGAGTCAGCTGCTACTCATTGAGATTGCATGTATTACCGAGAACTGCTTCACAGCCTTTTCTTGGCTATATTCCTTATGGGAGCAGATCCCTAGGCCTTTCTTCTGTGGAGATGCTGAGTGGATCTGAGCCACCAACCTTTAGATTAGCAGCAGATTGCAAACCACTTGCACCACCCACTGTTCTCCACAGGAACTGTCCCACCCAAAATGCCAATAGCACCCCATCCACACTCATATGGGCTAAACTTGACCTGCCACCTGAAAAAGGTCAGGTGTGCTGCTGTTGAGGGAGACTGCTCATGTGGTGTGGTCTGTTGGGGAAAGTGCATCTCAATAAACTCACCAGGCCAGACTCAGAATGAGGGGCAGGAACAGGACCTTCAGAATTGTGAATATCTCCTAGACAAGGGCCAGCCATGTACTACAATTTCTCTGGGAAGTCTCTATACAAGCAGAATATTTTCACGTAGCTAAGTTGCAAAATACAATTTTTCATTACCAACTAACTCCCATAACAAACTACACTAATTTCCTCAATCCTCTACCCTGTCAGTGAGATGTGGAAAGAATAAGGCTAAGGGTTTGGTGGAAGTGAGGGATAAGGTGAGGGCCAGGGATCAGGAGAGGAAATATTCTAAGGGTTGACAAATTTTTTCTGTAAAGGGCCAGGTAGTAAATATTTCAGGCTCTACAGGACATATGGTCTCTGCCACAACCATTCAGCTTTCTAGTGTGAAGCAATTATATATAAATGAATGGGCATGGCTGTGTTCCACTAAAACTTCAAGCTCTAGGCTGAATTTGGTCCACAGGCTGCAGTTTGCCGCCCCGACCCATGTAGTAGGTAAGAAATAAACAGTAAGCCACTAATGTTTTGGGTTTTCTCTCTCAGCCCAAACAAATCCTAACTGATACCCTCAGGGAGCCCCAAATGCTTCCTCAGCTGAAAGGTGAATAGTGGTAGGCTACCACATGACCTAGAATTTCCATTTTACAGGACTGCAGAGTGAGGTCCTAGACTTGAAATTGTCTAAGGCTGCAGAGGGAGGTAGAGTCGCTCACTGAGGGCAGAGAACAGACTCCAGGCCTTGCAATTTCCAAACTAGGGCAGCCTTCTGCTCCCAACATCTCACCATCCCCACACAATTTACATGCTGATGTTAGTACAACAGGCACTGAGAAACAGTTCTGAATTGCCACTGCTCTTGCAAAATGCCTGAGCTAGGTAATGGAGAATTAAACCCTGGTAGAGGAAGATGGGGTTCTCTACTTCCATAGTGATACTGCCTCGGCAACCCAAGGAGGGGTCGCTATGAGTCAGGTCTGACTTGATGGCACATAACAACAACAACAGAGCTTCACAAAGGTTTATTTATTTATTTAATGGTGATTTGGGTGAAAGTTTGCAGAGCAAATTCACTTTCCATACAGCAGCTCACATACGCTTTGTCTCATGACATTGACTACAATTTCCCACAATGCAACACCTCCCCTCCCACTTCCTCCTCATAGTTACCTCTTCCCTGTGTCCTTCCATCTATGCACTTCTGCCCCCTGAGCTGTCTCCCTGTGCATACACAGCCCTTCTATTTTCCCATGATTGTTCTCTCCAAGGAGTGTATCTACCTAATGTAAACATTCAGCTCATATGCCTGTCTTTTGTTTGGCTGGAAGCCACAGGAGTGGGTTCAGTTCTAGACCTGAAGGGCAGATAGGGGCCATAGTCTCAGTGGTTCCATCAGGCTCTATCAGACCAGCAAACCTGGTTCCATTTTTCTCTTTCTTTTTTTTTTTTTTTTAAATGATTTTGAGTTTTGTTCCACATTGTTCTCCCTCTCTCAAGGATCTCCTACATAGATCTCCTTCCAAGTGGATGACAGTGGTAGCCAGGCACCATCTAGTTCTTCTGGTCTCGTAGTAATATAGGCTGCAGATCAGATGGTGTACCAGTCGCTAGGACCAATTGTTTCCATGAATTTTGGTTTTCTTCATTCTTCTTTGCTCTGGACGAGGAGAGACCCATCATTGCATCTAGATGGCCACTTGCAAGCTTGTAAGATCCTAGTCACTACTTGCCAAAGTAGGAGGTGGAACAATGTTTTGTGTAGTATGTTATGCCAATTGAGCTTAATATGCCTTGTGACTATGGTCCTGAGCCCACAGGTCCAACTACTCTGCACTTTCTGGGTAGTTGGCTGTGGCTAAGAAGTGACTACAACCTTGTACCTTGTCAGCTCTACTTTATAACTGGGAATTCTTACAGAACATACCAATATACTTGTAGAAACATTGTCTGCCACCCCTATACATGGTCTTGGGCACACTCCCCCCTGCAGAGACATACCTAATAGTTCAGCCCGTCCACCCATCTATCCACCCATATGTCCATGTTTGCCTTCACTGACAATGCAGTACTGTAGTGCAAAAGGGTTCATCTTTGTTGTCTGTACCTCCCATGTACGTTTCTATGTCTTCTTCTTCCTCAATGCCACTGTGTTGATCACTCACATCACAAAGGTCTATTTCACAAAGGAAGCATTAATAGACAAAAGTAGACTGGCCTTTCTCGCCTCTAAACCATCAAACAGAAAAGTAACCCAGAGTCAGCGTTGTTTACTGAGCTCCCTGGCAGTGCAGGGGTGCTGCCTTTGATTGTAGAGAGTAACGGATGCCAATTAGCACAACATTTGCTTTTGCTGCAACAGTAACAGTTTTCATGTGTGTGAAACTTTTCATGGGCTACCTCCCAAGCTCACATAAATCTTAAAAGGGAGGCACCTTTATGCAATCTTGTTCCACCATGCCCCAGCTGTGTGACTTTGAGCAAGTTACTAACTTCTCTGTGTTTCTACCTCCTCATTTGCAAAAACAGGAATAATAACAATAACTGTGTTATTGGGTTGTTAAGAGGATGAAGTGAAGTAATATTTGTAATGCACCACACATCCATATTCATTAAGTGCTGGTTGTTGTTATTGTAATTGCTAGGATTATTATCATCTCCTTATGCCAAATAGAAGGAGCTCTGGTGGTACAGGGATTAAGAAATTTGCATGCTAACCAAAAGATCAGTGGTTCAAACCCACCAGCTGCTCCATAGAAGAAAGATAAGACAGCCTTGGAAATGCTATGGGGGTTGCTAAGGGTAGGAATCTACTCAGTGGCACGGAGTTTTTTGCCAGATGGGAACACTGAGGCTCAGAGAGGCTGAGCAATTTCTTCAAGGGCACCAAACTGGTGCCGAACCAGCTCTGCCTGACTTCAGAGCTTTGCTCCTTGCCTCTGCCAACCCGACAGAGAGAGAAGCTCTGGATATTCCAAGACCAGGGGTCATACATCCCAGGATAATGGGCAGTCTAGGAGGTCCTGATTCTCAATGCTAGTTCTGGTGTCCCCAAGCCTAGCCTCCCCACTCCCACCTGGCCTGCTGCTCCCTGGGCTTGGCAGTCTCACCTGATGACAGTGAGGCAGCTGAAGCAGGGCTGCAGTTCCCGCACACCATAGTCATTGAGATTGTTGTTGTCTAGATCAAGGGCCAGCTGCTTGCGGGAGTGGTGCAGGACGAAGGAGAGGGCGCTACAGTCGGCTGAGCAGGCGTTGCAGTAGGTCAGCTTGAGATAGTTGGCGCAGATGCCCCTGGCTGCCAGCTGCCCTACCTTCTCGCTCTGTGTCTCATAGATACAGCGAAGCATCCAGATGAAAGTGGGCATGGCCTGTACCTGGCTGAAGCCCCCAGACTGAACTCGGGGCAGGTTCTTCAGGTAGGACCTCAGGCTGCGAAACAAGTGGGCCCATAGGGCCTTTCGCTTTCTTTTCAGGGTCGCCACAGGCACCAGGTGCTGCAGGAGTTTCTGTTTGGCTTTGGATAACAGCCCACACAGGAAGAGGTTGGTAAAATGAAAATGGTCCTTGTTCTTGAAAGGGTCCTCCCTCGCCAGGCCACTGACACCCAGGCACTGGAAAGGGAGGAAGGGGGAAAAGCAGGATGTCACTGCTGCCCCGCCAGGAGGCACCCACTCCTGGAAGAACCTGAGGAGCTCCTGAGTGCCCACCTTATCATCCACCACAAGGAAGAAGGCCGTAAAGAAGGCCTGAAGAGTGATGTGGAAAAACTCATAGGACAGCTGCTCCCCTCCAGGGCCCAGGTCCAGCACAGCCCGCAGGAAGCCCAGCTGCAGGTCCTCCTCCTGCAACTCAGAGGCCTGCACCTGCTCCTGGCTGAAGACAAACAGGCTGTTCTCCATGCCCCAGTGAGCCAACTGGCCCAGTGAGTGCAGGGTCCTCTGGCTGGAGCAGAAGGCCTCCACCTGGCTCCGAGTGTTCCGCTGCACCAGGCTCGTGGGCTGTACCCTGTTCAGGTGGTCCTCGGTGGCCAGTAGGAATATGTCGGTCAGTGTCACTGTGTAATCAGGCAGCTGTGGGGTGGTGTCGAAGGCAGCGTAGAAGTGCTGGAAGCAGCGGAAGATGATCCAGCAGAAGAGAGGCACCGTGCACAGGCTGCAGAGGTTGGGGTTGGCTTCCAGCTGGTCCAGTAGGCGGGCCTGCAGCACCCGGTCGGGGAACATCTGCCGAGCGTAGGCCTGCAAGTGGCTGGGGGAGAAGCCCCGCAGATGCACCTTCTTCCTGAGGAGCTGGCGTGGGATCTCGATGCCCGTGCGGGCTGTGAGCAGCTTGGTGGCCCCCTTGAGCAGCTTCCCGCTGAGCAAGTTGGCCAGTAGGACAAGGGGGTGGGCAGGTGCCAAGGGGGAGGAGATGTCAGGCACACTGCTCAGGTCAAAGTCTGAGTGGAGCTCATCTAGGCCATCGAAGGTGAAGAGGGCCGTGTGGGGGAAGCGTAGCAGGAAGGCGAACACCTCCTCGGGGTCCTGCTCTGGATAGCAATAATGCTTGAAGAGTAGGTCCTGAAGACTCAGTACATCGCTCTCCTTGAAGCAACTGAATGTACGGCATCGGAAGTGGAAGAAGAACTTGACACAAGCATCCAGCTGGCCTGAGGCCCAGAGGCTCTGCAGCCGCTGCAATAGCACAGACTTGCCCACTCCAGCATTGCCGGACAAGAACACAGTCTCACCTTGCTCATTGAGGATGCCCGTGGAGTGGTCCAGGAGGCCAGCCAGGTTGCCCAGGTGCCCCAGGCTCTCATTGGCAAAGCCGACCAGCTCCATGACAGTGTCCATGTACACCTCTTCCAGCAGTAGCTCTTCCTTCTGGCCATAGCACAGGATGAACTTGGAGTCACAGCCCAGGTGGTGCCGCAGCTTCTGGGTGTACCTGCTTACTGTGGTGAGAGTGAGGCAGGGGGTTGCGGTGAGGAGCAGAGGTAGAGAGGGAGACAGAGGAGGAAACTGCATCAAACAGTGAGGTCCTCAAGGTTGAAGCAGCACATACACAAACAAAAAACAAAACCTGAACCCTGCGGCCATGTGAAACAATTCCTCGAATGCAGGCCCTCCAGGACCTTCCAGAATCTGAAGCTCCTAGGGCTTCAATCCATCTGCCTATCCTCAATTTAGCCAGCCAGAGGAAGACAGGATCAGGATCTGAGATCAGGGAAAAAAAAAAAAAAAATTGCCATGGTGTCAATTCCAACTCATAGTGACCGGCCTCCATTATTCCTCTGCAGAAGCTTGGCACTGACTCACAGACAGCAATGGAAGGCTCCTCAAACCTGAGGACCATGTTGGATGGCCCTCTTGCCCCACCCCTATCCCATAGTCCTATTCAAAGAGCATGATCTAGCTCCATTGAAATTAGGAGCTCTGGTAGCATAGTGGCTAAGACACTTGCCTGCTAACCAGATGGCTGGCGGTTCAAACCCACCAGCCACTCCTCAGAAGGAAGGTTGGGCAATCGTACTTCCGTAGTGATACTGCCTCGGAAACCCAAGGAGGGGTCGCTATGAGTCGGGGCCGACTCAACGGCACATAACAACAACAAGAAAGAAACTAAGGAGCTCTGGTGGTGTTGGAGATAAGGCAGTTGGCTGTTAACCAGAAGGTCAGTGGTTCAAACCCACCAGCCACTCTGCAGAAGGAAGATAGGGTGATCCACTTCCGTAAAGATTTATAGCCTCAGAAACCCAATGGGGGTCGCTATGAGTTGGAATTGACTCAGTGGCAGTGGGTTTGGTTTTTGGTTTAAGAAAGAAACTACTTGCCTTTCTTCTGCTTATAATTCATGCTCTTGCAACAAACAAAACTAGATGCCAACATCACTGGTGAGAAGATACGACATTCATCATAAATCTGGATTAAAACTGAGTTGTTCCTTATCTAAAACCCCACAGCTGGGAAAATTAACATGAAAACCACCCTTCCAATACCACAGAGCACACCAGCCCTGGTTTCCAAGGAGAGGCCCTGGGGATCAATGACCCTTGGCAAATGCCCTAGGGTGAACCTGGGCCTGCCCACAGAGGACTAGGCGCCCTACCATGTTTACAGGAGTGCCATGCTCTCAGGAGAGCCGAGCCACAAAAATGGGCCCATATGAAAAGGGAGGGGGATCCTCCCCAAACGAAAGAGTATTCCATAAATTCCTTTAAAACAGTTTTTTTTTTTTTCGTATTTTAATTATAATTCCACTAACAAAAAATTGGACACATATGCACATTTCCAGAAATTCACCTATAACCCCTTCTCATCAACTCAGTCCAACTTGGTGTTCTGTTTAAAAACTAAATTGAATTATATATATGTTTTACAGCTTACTGAGGCCTAATTTACAAGCCATAAAATTCACCTACTACATGTTGCATAGGAGCTCTGGTGGTGCAGTGCCTAAGGCATTTGACTGCTAACCAGAAGGCTGGCGGTTCAAACCCACCAGCCACTCCTCAGACTGAAGACTGGGTAACGTACCTCTGTAGAGGTACCACCTCGAAACCCAAGGAGGGGTTTCTATGAGTCAGAAACGACCCCAACGACAGTGAGGTGTTTTTTTTTTTTTTAATTTTATTTTGATTTGGGTGAAGATTTACAGAGTAAATTCACTTTTCATACAGCAGTTCACATATACTTTGTCTCATGTCATTGACCAAAATTT